GGTAAGGAGAGCTTGAAGCCTACGAGTACAGACTACAGGTTCTCGTACACGCTTCGGTACGCTGCTGCAGGCAGGCTACATGTATAGGCTATCACAAAAAACTATGGGAGTACAGCCTAGGGGAGCCTGGGGGGGGCCGCCTGGGGGAGTAATCTCGTACAGCCTACGGGTGCTAATACCAGGTGCTACCGCTACTACTGCAAGTATATTCACTAGTAGAGAGGCTAAAGCTGGGAGAGCCCTCCACCGCCCGCGGACAGGCGAGACCCATAGAGGGAGGAGCCAGAGAGCAGAGGCCCAGGACCACGGACTGCCCACCACCCACCCTCCCCTGGGGTTCAGGGATCCATCTGGACGGGTCCATTCATCAGGCGGAATCAGGCCAATAGGATCGTGGCCAGGACGGATGCGGGAAAACGGGAGACGGGAAGGGGAGGGGAAGAGGCGGGAATCGGGGAATTGGATAATATCCGTGGGACTGGGACAGACAGAGCGCTCGTCCTCTGCTCGTACGAGGAATCGATGCTGCATGTACGGAGTGCAACTCGTAATGTATAATGCAGGCTGCTATTGGTGCTCGTAGTAGTAACATTATCGATGGATACCCTTATTCGTGTATCGATATTCCCTCCTCCTTGATTCTCGTACCACCGCGATCACGGCTCACCTTCTACCCGTACATGTTCATGTTCAACGGTTCACACTTGTCCGTGAGTATCATGCCCGTACCGATGAGCAAGTGGACGGACGAGCAATCATGACTCCTCTTCTTGATGACTAACCCACGCTCTCTCACATCACCGCCACCCTCACCACTCAGCGGAGATACCCGCACCATCCCTACTAGCACAAAGACCCATCCCAGACAAGACAACGCACCAAAAAAAGGAGGGTAAACGAAAAGAAGGGTAAAAAAAAAAGGAGGGTAAAAAAAAGGAGGGTAAAAAAAGAGGAGGGTAAAAAAAGGAGGGTAAAAAAAAGGAGGGGTAAAAAAAAAGAAGGGTAAAAAATAAAATGAAAAAAAGGAGGGAGAAAAGAAAAAAAATAAAAAAATAAAAAAAAAGTCCACGTCCCACAACCTGCAGACACCCAGACTCTACGAGTAGTGCGAGTGCCGACACGTCTCTCCCACCAATTTTAATCCCCCATGTCCAGTATTGTTTATTTATCTCAAGAGAGGACGGGAGATGCATCGGCTACCACTGTACGGAGTACAGGTACGGAGTACGATGAGTCAGCAATTACATGCATACATACAGAGTAGGTTGCAGATTACAGAGCAATCTGTGCGGGAGTATGGAGAGTAAGTATTATTACTCGTACAGTACGGAGTACCTAGATAATCACCCCTCTCCAAACTCCTCAGCCCATCACCGCCACTCTGGTTCCCCCCCCCCTCGGTCATCTCACTTCAGTGTGAGCCAAGCGTGCATGTCCGGATTGGTTCCCCACCCCCTCGGGTTCAGCACCACTGCAGGAGGTTGGCCAGCGGTCACTGGTCAGCGGTCAGAGGGGAGCTGCTAGGTACGGGTGCGTGTGACGGAAGAGTTGAGGGATGGGTCGTGTACGTGTGTGTGTGTGTGTGTGTGAGTGCGCGAGGATGTCCCGACCATCTGGTGTCTCAATCCTCCCGATCGTTCCATGGTCTCTTCAATATCCGAGACTCTCGAGAGTCGAGATAGACTGCCGAGTGCGTAGTTACGGGGGTGCGCAGATTGCAACCGTCGACTCCCGTACCGTACGATAACAGTTGATACTGCTCGTACGGAGTACGTAACTGCATATATGCATGTATTCTGTACTCCGTATAGCAATACGAGCAGGACTGTATTACCCCGTACCGTAGAGTACATGTATACCACGCGGTTCCTCCCCCTCCCCCCAACAGGTACTGGTACGTGCTAGTATCATGATGTGGTACTCACCATCAGCGCCCATAGCAAGCAAACTTGGTGGATTCGTGTAGGTTGCCTGACCCGGGCCTTCCCCCTTTGTGCATGCAGCACGACGGGGATTTGCCTCTACTCCCCGTTGTCCGTTTTATCGGGATTTTTTTTTTTAATTCTTTACTTTTCAAATATATATTTATATGATATATATGATATATATGATAATAATAAATTGACCGTCATCTACTCGTACTCCTGAGTATTTTGGTTACTATCACTCGTAATACTATTAAAGTTAGGGATAATACTTATACCCTGTAGTCCCGTACGTACACATTGACCCTCACTCAGCATTACCTCTCCTCTGTATTACTAAGCCTCTCATCTCTCCCGACCATCTCTCTCCCTCTCTCTATTCATCCAACCTATCTATCGTTACCCAAAGTTGACATCTGGTAATAACTGAACCAACCTCTGAATACATTGACAATTCATTCTCTCGCCCAAAGTATTATTACCTGTATAGTCTAAATAATGCTTGCGCTATTCCGTACAAGTGGCATACCCTCCCCATGCCATGTGACATCTGATCGGCTCTTACCAGCCATTAACAGGCTTCCAACCCTGCAAGAAATATTTAGTGATGCGACGTACAAGGGGTACATCCATGGACATGGAATGTCATGTCCCCTTGCTCTTTTACAAGACTAGCACATCGTTACTGACTCCGTACTTGGCAGCTCTTCGCAACTGAAATCCGACAAGCATGCTTTCTCGGCTGTTTTCAGTTCCTTCTTTCTCTTTTCACTAGGGCTTTGAGGAGGAAGAAAAAGATGATAGAATAAAAAAACACTCTACGAGTACTCCGTACATGTATACTGTTGTCGGAGCAATGAACAGAATTTACCCCCCCCCC